AGACAAGTGCTGTTTCTGCAGCTTCTATCACACTAGAGACCTTCAGATCAATTGTTTTACTCCTTCGTGCCTCAGTTTCCCTCCACTACTTGTTGACTATCTTGCCTGTTGACAGAAGAAAATGACTGAGTTCACTTACTTGGTGATTGTGTCAAGGAAGGGTTGATTTCATGGTGTGTTAGTCTGCAATGCAATGCTTCGAGGTGCAACACTAAGTCTGCACTACGGCTTTAGCTATGGTCAGCAACAAATATCAAAAGCAGAAACAGGATTGCTAAGAAAAACCCAGAAACTTGGCCTGTTCCTCTCTATCTTTGAGACTAATTCTTTTCATTTAGGACACCAGCTCTATTTGGGAAAAACAAAACCAGCAACAATCCACTTCTGTATTAAAATATCTTTTTTTTTCTTCTCATTCTTTCCTCTCCTGTCCTCAACTGCAATAATATCAACTCCTCTTTATAAAGCAAGAAGTCACTTCATATATTTCAAACTAGTGGACTTGGCTCTTGAAAACCTGCTGTAAAGGGGAAAATACACCAAGGTGAAGTATTTCTGCTACAAATCATCTGGAGACATGGTCAACCCTATCTGATTGTGTTCAGTGTCATAATCATAAATACTCTTGTTTTATGACCACGCCAGAGTTCTTCACCAGGAGCAAACAAGGGCTTCCCCAAGGCTCCCACACTGTTTGATTCAACTTTATTATGAGCAGAGCTGATTCACTGAGCACCTTACAAATGACAAGTAAGAAAAGCTTGGGCCTTGTTGACAGCAAAGGATGTGACTTTTCAGTCCTTTCTCCATCTCTGGTTTAGTTTCACCAGGCAGTGGTAAGACAGTTGCCCTGTCCCAGCTTGAGAATGGCTGATCACAACTATCCACTGTGCAATTCAAAGGCGTCCCTGGATGGTCGATCACAGGTTATACAGAGAGAAACAGCATTTTGCCTTCTGGACAGCATGTGTCATGGCCAAGACCTTTCTACTGTTCCACTGGCTCAGTCTCCAATTCATCCTGTGCTCTGCATTAATCAGCAATTCATATTACAAGGAAAAAAAGGAGTAAAAAACCCAGGACCCTCTCAGAGCACTTGAAGAAGACCTGAGAAGAAGGCAAGTAAGTCCATGGGAATCCAGAGACTTGTAAGATGTGTCAAGGGAATGATGGAGTTGGATGTACATAAGGGTACAAGCCTCCTGTCAAAGTGCTCCAGGCTGGTCCAGGGGTGATGGGTATCAGCCCAATTGGCCCATCTGAAGCCCAGGCCATCTGAAGAGTGGGAAGCCTCAGCCTACAGAATGGCAAGATATTGTACAGGCAAAGAGAGAATAAAAAAATCACCTGGAGGTGGGTGTATCAGCAAAGAGAAGATAAAGACCATAGTGTGGGGGAAGGGAGCAGGCTTGGCCTGCCAGCAACGATGATTACAGAAGGAAGGAGTTTCAGGCACTGGTCCATATGACAGAGCAACACCAATATTTGTTTGCTTGGCAAGGAGTCTCTTGGTGCAATCAGACCATGCAATCCTGGAAGCTGGCCATGCTAATCTGCTCAGCAAACTCATGGAAGGACTACAAATGGGATAGTCCAACCACCCCATGCTGGTAGTATAGTTTCCCGTCAGTACCTCCTCGAGACTAACTGATTTAGCAGGTACTCATGCCTGGATGGTAGCAAACACATCCTGTCCTCATCCTCCAGGAATTCAAGTGTTTGTAGAGGAAAGGATTAAAAGGAGCATTGCACATGGAGATGAAATGTCAGTAAAAATAGCCCCACTGAAGGTGATGGTACATTTTGAGTACTACTGAAGATGATATTGGAAAGTATGGAAATGGACCTCAATCCTTGTGAGCCACATTATGCCATCGGAAACTGAGTGGAGGTCTGGATAGGCTTGACTTCAAGATACCAAATGGTTTCTATTGTTCAAAGAACCCACTCAAAAAATAGTTATTGGTACAGGACAGAAAAGGAAAGAATTAAAGGTGGAAGTGAAAGATAGGTACTGGAAACTTCAGTGAGAGACATGAGTCAGTGAGAAGATGGCTTCTCAAGAGAAGCGTGGGAGATAAATGCAGCATTTGTTTAAAGTGCCATTTGACAAAACCTTTCTGGCCACAAAGTGAATATAAATCTGTGTTTGTCAGAATGCATTCATGATGACATCCTTCCCCAGCCCTTAGTGTCCTTGAGGGCCACAAACACACAGACGGCAATGAGAAGAACCCTGAAGCTACTCGGCATTTCTCACATTACCAGGCAGAAAGCGTCTCTGAAAGTTTTGGGTTTCACAACACCATTATTCTTGTAGATATTGTTCAGTCATTCCAAACCTGAGAAATGTTTCTTCTGTGCAGCAGACAGCAAAATCTGCTCCTGAGCTGAGCAACTGACTGCTAAATGTTGTCTCCTGTGGGAAAGAGGTTTGTGCCCAGAGATGTGTTTGCTGCAGAAGCCAAGAAGGGCTGCAGCCCTCATTAGCGATGAACAATATGACATGTATGTGTTGCAAGATGCTATCATTGCCTTGTAGATCAATAGTCATCTTTTAAGGTCAGGTTTGTGCCCTTCCCAGCTGTCATGCAAATTGCACAAAGCAGCTTTGCATGATCAGAGGGGAAGTATTTGAAGCTCAGAAGGAAATCTTCTGTTAAAGGGGATAGGAAAGAGAAAGTGCAATCTCTACTGACCAACAAAGCTCTCCAGACTGGAGCTGATTCCGAGTTTGAAGATGATACCTTTCAGAAAGAAATCCAGTGAGAGATGATAAAGCAGTGATGGAAACGATGTGCTGAAATAGGCAGATCTAGGGAGGACAATGAGTCCACTGC